CAGTTGGGCGCCAATCCAGCGTAAAACGGGAGGACATCTCCAGTGGGAGAGCTGGTTTTGTTGGTGCGGCGGTTTTCGGCGGCGAGCAAGAGCACCAATTCTGAGTAGAAAAGGGGGGGCGTCTCGAGCGGGAGCGTTGTTCTTGCTGGGGGCGGCGCCGATGAGAGGAATAGCAGCGCGTCAGTCCAGGATAAAACGGAAGAGGTTTTGAGCGGGAGCGCTGGTTTTGTTGGTGCGGCGGTTTTCTGCTGCGAGCAAGAGCACTCACCGGCTCTGATTATGATGTTCCAACTTATTTTAGCTTTGATCACCAGAACGAATTTCGAACACCAGAAAAATACCAGAACTGGAAGACACTGTTCCGACACTGTTCCGACACTGTTTTGACATTCTTTCGACAATTTTCCGGGCGCTCGAAATAATTTCTGGGATGTGGTCCTTACGTACGATGGGAACAACATAAGGTTCTGAGTAAAAAAGGAGGAAGTCTCGAGCGGGAGCGTTGTTGTTGCTGTTGGGGGGCCGCTTTGGGCGCCACCCCAAACCGCTCGAGCGTGACCCACATGTTCAATGAGCATGTAGCGGACGCCGAGGCGAGAGCGCCAGGGCGCCTGGGGGGGTCCAACAATAATAATTGCTTAGAAGTTAGCATTCAACAACAGCAACAACAACAACAACGGCTCCCGCCTGATGCTTCATCACAATGTATTCCCAAATCGCGCTTTCGCGCGGGACTCCCTCACAATGTGTACACGAATCGCGCTCTCGCGTGGGACGTCCTCGCATTTGTTTCAGACGATGCGCCCTCGGCGCGCAGGAATCACGCTCTCGCTTTTGTTTTTTTGCTCTCACGATTCACTTGGGAATCGCGCTATGACTCGAGAATTCCGCGATTCATGCAGGACCCACGTGTCAGAACCCGCCTGCTCGACCTGGTCGCCTGGGCCAGCCTTCCCGACCTGCCCCTTACATAGGGTCTACCCACCCGATCTGCCCGTGTGGTTCTACCATTTGTTTTCTGCTCCTTGCCCCCTTCCTGCAAATTTCTCTCGTGTTCCATTATTGCCCCTCCCCCTTTCACGCGGCTTCTCTTCCCTTGTTTTAGGGGCTGCACCACATGCGCGTGGCAGGCAAGGAAAATACACCCCCGAGGGGGGACGATCGAAGACGACGAGGGCGGGTACCGAGAGTTTGGGATATACGTATTGGTTGGCACGTGAGCAGATAGGAGCGAACACTCTTAACATGATTGTTGTTGTTGTTGTTGTTGTTGCTGTTGATGTTGCTGTTGTTGCTGTTGCTGTTGCTGTTGATGTTGTTGTTGTTGTTGCTGTTGTTGTTGTGAAGAATATATGTGTTGTTGATCCCCCTCACCAGTGCATACTGGTTTTTCTCCATCAGAGTGTGCCCCTCGACGCTCGCACCCTGTTTTTTGACATGGAAAGCCTTCCTGCTCAAACTGGGCCCCTGGCCCCCCGGATTACATCAACATCGGTTCCCGCCTGAGACTTCCTCCAAATTTACTCAGGACCCCCGCTCCTGAGACCTCCTTACAATTTATTCAGGATCCGTGCTCCCGCCTATGAGTTCCTGGCAATTTAGTCAGGACCCCCGCTCCCATCTGAGAGTTCCTTACAATGTACTCAGGAACGGCGCTCTCGCTTGAGACTTCCTCAGAATTGGGTCAAGACTTCCTCGCAATTTAGTCAAGACCCCCGCTCCGGCCAGAGAACTTCTCACATGTTATGCAGGAATTGCGCTCTCGCTTGTGACTTCCATGCAATGTATTAGGACATCGCGCTTTCGACGCTCGGGAAACACGCTGCGACAAGGACGCCGTCACAATTTACTTAGTAATCGCGCTCTCGCCATACTGAGGCAGCCCGCTTGAATGTCCCACCCGCCCGCGCCGGCCGTCAGGGGATCGCCCGCCCGTCGTGGGATCCCGCTCGAGACTTCCTTCAAGAACAACGCTTTCGCCTAGGACTTCCTCGAACGTTCACGCTCTTACCTTCCTGCTCCTCCTCCCTCTCCCTCCTCCCTCCTCCCTCCTCTCCTCCCTTCTCTCTCCCTCCTCTCTTCCCTCATCCTTGGGCCTCTCTGCCCTATCCCTCTCCCTCCTCTCCCTCCTCCCTTCTCCCTCCCCTCTCATGCCTCCTCCCTCCCTCTTTTTTGTTTCTTTCTCTTTCTCTTTCTCTTTTTTTTTTTTCTCTCTCTCTCTCTCTCTCTCTCTCTCTCCCCCTCCTCTTTCTCTACCTCTGTTATCTGTCTTTCTTTATTTGTTGTTCTCTCTGTCTCTCTATCTCTCTCTCTCTCTCTGCCTCTAGTCAACCGCCCCCCTCTTCGCTTCTTCTCTCCTGGCGTTGTCCCTCTTCCTTCGTCCCTCCCTCCCCTTCTTCCCACTTTGCCTCGTTTTCCCCCTCCTTGTTTGCAGGGCCCACACCAATTCCAATGGCGGGCACATGTACGCCCACGAAGGATTGTCCGCCCGTTCAGGTTTGCCCGCCTGCCTAAGCCCGCCGCCCCCCACAAAGAGAAAGGATCCCCCCAAAGGGGGAGTGATCGGAGACAAACAGGGCGGGTATCGAGGGTGTGGGGAACTCGTTTTGAATGGCACACGGGCAAGTAAGAACGAACATTCTTATAATGATTGTTGTTGTTGTGGCTGTTGTTATGGTTGTTGTTGTTGGTTGTGTTGTTGTTGTTGTTGCTGTCGTTGTTGTTGCTGTTGTTGCTGTTGGTGTTGTTGTTGGTGGTGTTGGTGTGGTTGTTGTTGCTGCTGCTGTTGTTGTTGTGGTTGTGATTGTGGTTGTTGCTGTTGATGTTGTTGTTGTTGTTGTTGTTGTGATTGTTATTGTTGTTGTTGTTGCTGTTGTTGTTGCTGTTGTCGGTGTTGTTGTTGTTGTTGTTGTTGTTGTTGTTGCTGCTGATTTGTGTTGTTGTGGTTGCTGCTGCTGGCGTTGTTGTGGTGGTTGCTCGGCGTGGCAGGCGGACCCCGTGCGCAGGATCCTGCAGGGCCAGGGTCGCATTGACCCAGGTGTGGGCGCAGGATCCTGCAGGATCCTCTGCACTGGCCCGGGCTGGGGTGCAGGATCCTGCAGGTGTGTGTGTGTGTGTGTGCAGGATACTGCAGGCCTGACTAACCCGGGTCTGGATTGACCTCTTGGCATCGCTCGGACATGTGCATTTTCCTTCGGCGAGGACCATCGAGGAGCATCCTTGATCACTTGGAGAAACAATCACGCACGAAACCGAACAAAAAAACACAGGGGACGGACGTCCGAGCGATGCCCAGGGGCTCGGGTGCAGGATCTTGCAGGTGTGTGCAGGATACTGCAGGCCTGACTTACCCGGGTCTGGATTGACCCGGGTCCGAAGAGCCCCGACTCGGTGCTGCTCACCTTCTCGGGCCGTGGCATCTCGGCCCCTCGAAGCCCCAGGGGAACGACCTACATTGCCATCCCGGGGGGGTGCATCGGCCAGCAGGGCCGAGGCCGTGCCAGGGCTCGGGCATGGGATTCGCCCTCAAAAAGTAAGGGAATTCCCAAGATTGGCATCGTGATGAGGAGGCGCCCAGCATAGGGATAGGGATATGTTCCAGGCTGGTAAACATTACCATCCCAGGGGGGTGCATCGGCCAGCAGGGCCGAGGCCGTGCCAGGGCTCGGGCATGGGGGTAGGTCCATGGTAAGTCTGTTCCGGAGCACTCCAGAACGCTCTCAGAGCGTTCCGGAGCGTTCTGAGAAGGCCGCGGCGACCGAGACATCCTCCACAGCCGCCGCATCCCAGAGTTTCTCGATGCATCCTCACCTGACTTACTTTTCCCCAACCAGTGCCTTGCACTGAAGGGGTCCTAGCGAAGATTGAAAGATTTGGCGAAAGTGTCCCGCCGATTTGGGTGGCTGGCTGGGTTCCCGGGTTCCCGGTTCTGGATTCTTGGGTTCCTTGTCATTGGTTCCGGTCCGATTTCGGCGGGGTTGGGGTTCCCGGGCTCCCGGGTTCCCAGTCGATCTCCTTATCGGTATTTTTCTCGATGCCATGTCAAACCATCCATTGGTTGGGGCGTTTCTTTGGTGTGATATCTTCGTTTATTTGGGAAATCGCGTATTGCCGCCGCCGAGCGAGGCGCCACCGGCCGCAATTTTGGGGGAGGGCACCTTCCCCGATCCGTGGATTTGGCGACCGCGCGCCAGATCCATGGATCGCTAATCCACGTCTGCGCGCCCCCGAGAGGGTCGGAGGTTGATAAACCTCCTACCCTGACACGTCGATCAGTCAATTGGCCGTTTTCGGTTCGCGAGAGGGCGTCGCGGCCGTCACTTTTGCGGGTCCAGGTCTGTCGGTTTCGGTCCCGGGCCGTTTTCACTAAAGGGTGGTGTACTAAAGGGTGGTTTGTCCACCGCCGAGAGGGAGCCTTAAGTCGGGCCTGTCCCTCTACAGGAGGAATATCCAGGAATAGTTGAAAAATAGTCTGGGGACGATTTTCTGGTTATTTTCGATGTATTGTTTGACTGTTCTTTGGATTTTTCGTCGAAGCTCCCCCTGTAAGGGGACACGCCCGACTCAATACTAAAGGGAGGCTTGTCCACCGCCGAGAGGGAGCCCCCGCGGGGGAGGGGGGAGGCGTAAGCAGACCCTTCCCTAACCATTTCGCTGTTTTCCTCGACCCCTGAATGGTCGAGGCCCATTCCATCAGTGAGAGCTCGACGAGAGAGCTGGAAGACGGCGGCGCCAACGCGCCGATCGGCCCTCTGTGGGCCGCGTTCGGGCTCCGGGGCCGAATCGACAGAATGGTCAAGGATGCGAGCCCCTGGCATCGCTCGGACGTGTGTTTTTTTTGTCGGCGAGGTTCCTTGAGGAACATCCTGGATCCTCGAGCGAAAAAAAACACGCACACGAAACCGAAGCATGCACGGGAGATGGACGTCCGAGGGACGGCAAGGTCAAGGATGCGAGCCATCACGAGGGGGGGCCCGGCCGCCCGAGACCGCCCCCTCGAGGAGGGCCTGCAGGCCCAGGCGCCCGCCTGGCCGTGGGAGGCGCCGGCGCGCTCGCGTCGGGAGGGGAAAAGGCACGCCTGTCACGAGCACTCCGTCGGGCCTGTCCCGCCTCGACAGGGGCCCGGCATCGCTCGGACGTCTGCATGTTTCCTTCGGCGAGGACCATCGGCATGTTTCCTTGGATCATTTGGGGAAAGAAGCACGCACGAAGCCGAAAAAAGCGCGCAGGGAATGGACGTCCGAGCGATGGCCAGGCCGGGCCGGGGGGCTATTCCAAAATAGGAAAAACATAGTCTGGGGACGATTTTGGGAGTATATTTTGGGGCATGTTTTGATTGGAGTATTTGTTTCGCCCAAAATCCACCTGTAAGGGGGACACGCCCGACTTAAGACAAGTATCAAGTCGACCCCGCAGAAAACAAGGGGAAATATGTGAAATGGGGGGGGGAAATAGAAGCCCAGAAGAGTCGTGGGAAAATGCGTGGGGAGTCTGGTGATTCGTGTCTGAGTCTATGTATTATCTGTGTGTCCCAGGGCCCCTTCCGGAGCTTCGGTGCCTGTTCGTGGGAGCTTTGGGCGGCGGCACTGAGATCGGCCCTTCCTGCATTTTTGGACCGCGTAGGGACCGCATTTGGCGCATCCTCGTGCTCCTCCTCTCCCCTTTTGTTCCCCCTAATCATTATCGCTCCTCTAGTCCCCGCGAATCTGGTCCAAATCTCCCAAATCAGGCCCAAATCGGACAGCGCCGGGGGCCACGCAGGCTCCCATAGAACGGACACCAAACAGAGCTCCAGGAGCGTCGCCGAGCGTGTTCCATTACTCGCATAGTGCCTACTCCCGAACGTTCGAAAGAAGCTCATGTCCGCCTCGGTGCAGTGGATAGTAGCTCGCCCGCGACAAATCCTGGCCATCTGCGAGTAGATTTCCTTGCGGGTAGTGGGACGCGCTTGTCTAGAGGAGAGGAGGGGAGGGGAGGAGAGAAGAGGATAATGAGAGGAGGCCTCTGACCAGTTTCGGGGTCCTCGGCGCTCCACTAGCCAGGTTGATGCCCAAGGAGGCAGACAAGGCTAGCCGTGTTCTGGTTGTCAGGAGTGTTTGGCATCGGCGAACGATTCTAACGCGCATAGCCCAGTATAGGAGCAGGAGAAGGGGACGAGGGATGAGGAAAACGGTCGGGAGGATGAGAAGGAGGAGGAGGTGGCCCGTAGCCATTTCGGCTCAAGCCCATTTGGTTTCTGGCGGGCCCGCGGATCCCGATCGATCCATCGGGGTCGGTCGCGCCTGCCGCCCGATCGATCGCGGTGGCAGGGCGCATCGCGCATCGGCCAGCCACGAGGCCGGGCTCACGCGTGCCGCGCGCTATCATCTGCGGCACGGGGCCATCCGTGCCTCCCTGTTCCCTGCCGCAGACAGCGGCGCCAGCGGCCGCGCATGGTTTCTTTCGAGCGGCGTGCAATGGTCACGCCGAACACGGCCCTGCCTCGAGATTCGGGGGACACTCCTCGGAGCCCTTGTGCGGCGGCGGCGACCGTGCCCGTTTCGCGGGCAAAGCGAAGACACATGAGAACACAACGCGTTGCAGTGCGCAAAGCACTAGTAGCCACCTCGGGTCTGCGAGCATGCATCGGCCTACAGGCGCAGCAATTGCCAGAGCGTGATGAAGTCCTAGCCCCCCCCAAAGACGATACTCCATGAGCTGGCGTCGGCAGTGCGGCGGATTGAGGCCGAGATCAAGGCTTTGCGGCAAGCGGCTACGAAGGATTCTACGTGCCGAAGCGCCAGTCTACACACCTGTCGGAGAGCCTTTGCATATGTTTTGGCTTACAGCTTGTGATCCGACACAGCCGTTTCAGGATTTGCCGGTCATCGATAAGTTGGGCAGAGGAGATTGTGGGCATCAAGAATTCTGGATTCAAGAACCTGGGTTCGTTGCGGCTGAAGTAGACGACGCCCATTACGAGGGGGGTGGCTCAACGAAGGACGAACCAGACGCCATCAGCTACGAGGTGGCAATGCGAAGGACGAGCCCGATGCCATCAGCTACGAGGGAGGAAGTGCGAAAGACGAGCCCACTGCCATCAGCTTCGAAGGGGGGGGAAAGCGAAGGGCCCCAAACGAAAGACGAGCCCGACGCCATCAGCTACGACGGAGTGGACGCCACCATATGGGAGAGCAGCCAGATCCCATCGAGCATTCTAAAGCGATGGGACATCTACGCGGAGGACCTCGAGGACACGCTCAATGGCCTCAGCGACACAACGGAGGAGGCAGTCCTGCGAGCACGCCTCGATATCGTGCAAGCAGCGGGGGCCCGTGCGGCCTCCGAGCGGCTCCCGAAGAAGGAGCAGCGCGCCTTCGAGGAGGTCTCGATCGTCGAGCTCGCGGCCTGCGCGCACTACAGGCGCCATTGCGCCCGAGGCCGTGGCGCGGACGGAGAAGAGCAGGCCGCCCAGGCCTGGAGCTCCCTGGACAGCGAGGAGATGGCGGAGTGGACCACTGAACGCCCGCTGGACAAACTCGCCGTGGACCCGCGCCTGGCGCCGTACCTCCAGCGCGGCCGGCCCCGCAGGCGCAGACCGAGAAGAAGGGCCTCGTTCGTCAACGACGTGGGCAAGGAGCGCGACAGCTGCGACGTCTTCCCGAAGCCCTACCAGAAGGTGTGCTTCAGCCTCCCCGAGGAGGTGGGTGACCACTTCGAGAACAGCGGCTACTTCTCTTAGAGCAGCGGCTTCCTCATCGACATCGCCCCCTCAGGGGTGAGCGTGCCGCCCTCCCACAGGGGGAGTGTCTGGCGGCCCCCGAGGGGGGGGGCAAGTTCGGGAATGACGAGTTCGGCGACGACCTGGACTACGACATCTGAGCGAAGGGGGAGGTGGAACCCCTCCGCGGGCTTCGGCGAAACAGACCGCCTTCTCGCCCGCGCGCCTGAGGAGGAGGAGGAGCCCACTTATGGTCTGAGGTTTAGTCGGTTTGCTCTCGCCAAGGTTCTTGCGCCACGCAGCGGGGGCAGCGCGACGAGGGGGGAGGTCGCCCAGACCTCCGGAGATTCGCAGATGTGTAGCCTGACGAGTCGGACGTTTTGTTGTGCGCATGTTCGACATATGAGGGCCGTTGTTGGGTCCTGGGCCCTCCCTCTCCTCCTCCTCCGCCTTTTGCCTCCTTCTCGTCCTCTTCCTCATCCTCTCTAGTTTTTACTGACGGGTTCCCGCAGTGCCCGTGCGAACTCACAATCCGATAGCGGGGCAGAGCTCCGGCCGAAACGGTGCGAGCAGCCTACCTCCAGGGGGGGGGGCAAGAGCTCGGGGCGGCCCTGGACTCAAAGCATCTATCACGTCGGAGGTGTTGGGAGCCTGGTGGTGCAGGTTGCTGTTCGTTTTCAGGAGCGAATGAAAGACGTGCGCGTGCATGAACCACGCTGGTTTCGAGAGTACGTATTGCCCGAATGTTGGTATGACGTGGCCAGTCTCGCGGATCGAGGGGCCGCGTTCATATACATAGTTGGGCGCGTACGTTTTTTGTGGGCTCACTACGTTTGTCCACCCCCTCTCATCGAGCACACAGAAGCCCAAACCCCAATAACACGATGAAGGCGTGGCCCGTTTTCGCATCAGGGACGAGGATTCTGGGCGGCCTGGTCCGATGCACCTGCAGAAGCAACCCCCTTTATCCCGGATGTGTGTTGGGCCCGACGTAGGTCCCCTCCAGAGGGGTTGGCGGCCCTCGCGTGGTGAATCATCCTCTTCGTGGCCGTGCGGGCTCTGGAACGGGATGTCTTTTCAGTGCGAGGGCGTCTGTGCCCCGGCTGGCCTGCCGAGGGAGAGTAGGGGAAAAGGAAAAGGGGGTGCGCGGGCCATATTTGACATCCTATCCCTCCCGCTCGTCGTTTCCCGCTCCGTTGCGTTGACTGTCTCTCGATCTGCGGACGCGTGTCATGGCTGGCCTGGAGCTCCAACAAAAAGACCCCATCGTGGCATGCGCAATCGGAAGAAGGGGAGGGGTGCGCACATGGGGAGGAGGAGCAGGAGGAGCAAGAGGAGGCCGAGGAAGGAGGAAGACGAGGACGAACAGCAGCAGCAGGAACTGTCGCGGAAGGAGGAGATGGAGCAGAAGGACCACCAGAAGGCGGAGGAGGGGGAATGACGGGGGCGACAACGATGAGAAAACACGCGGGTCCACAAGAGTGGCCCGCGCTGGGGCGAAGCCGCTGTTTTGAACGACGGGGGCAGACCACCGATCTGAAAATGAGGCCCCCGCTTAACCGGCAGCACCATTTCGAAATAGCGAAACACATCGGATTGTAAACACACGAGAAACATATGTTCGAAATCTTGCGTGTACAGGATAGCGGGCCGAGCTTGTGGAAATATGATCGTCGTACTCACACTGTGTACTTGTCGAGAAGGGGGAACGAGAAGTAAATACATGTCCCCCGCCTCTATCCCCGTCGACCCCATCCTCTCGCCTGCTCGTTCTTCGGGGGACGAAGAGGAGGAGGAGGAGGAGGCGGAGGAAGCGTTTGACATTTTTCGCATGGTGGCGACAACCTCCAGAAACATTCGAAATCTCCGAAACGACGACGGCTCGACCACGACGACGACGTCGACTCCAAACCTCCGACGTGCTTTTTCACAGCGTGGACCTCCAGAGGTCTCAATCCTTTCTCCAGGGCCAGCTTCATTCGGATTTGTTTGCGACGGCCCCGGGGTCTGGTGAGGACCTTCAGATGCCGAAGCGTTGTCCCGAATCGTGCATCGTGGCGTTTGGTCATGACGCGGGTGGGTCTTGGATCGCCGCTGCAAGTCCTCTGTTGCGTTCAGGCCAGAACTTCAAGGCGGATCCGGCAGTGGCAACAAGGACGCCGCAGGAGGTCCGAAAAAGGAAATAAGTATGCGTATAGACACAACAAGACCGACATTCCTCGATTCCTTCGTTCTGACGGGTTCCTTTCGTCGCTGATGGCACTGCCGAGAGGCGCGGGCGATGTACCCGCCTTCCGGCCGCAGCGACGGGTGCTTCCAGGAAAGCCCGAAAATGTTCGAAACGGCGGCGCCGACGACCACGTAAAGACGCCGCCAGCGACAACGACGAAGCCGACGATTTTGCATCCTCCAGAACGCCGGGAGGCGGCGAAGTCGTCCAGAAATATGCTGAAGGTCTGTCTCCGGACCCCTCTCGGGGTCCATCCTGACCAATGTTTCATCCTGTATCCACTGCTGGCGGTCCTCAGGCGCCCTGCCACGGGCTTGCAGATGCCGGTTCGAACCTCGACGACGACGACCATAGCGACGACGATGACGACGACGACGACGTCGGCGACGGCGACTGCGACGGCGACGGCGACTGCGACGGCGGCGGCGATCACGACGACGACGTGAAGATGTCGTCGGCCGCTGCTGCCTGCCTGGCACCGCCGAGTAGGGCTTGTAATGGAGGAGCAGGGGGGTGGATGAGGAGATGGAGACTGAGGATAAGTCGAGGGACGACGACGAGGAGGAGGAGGAGGAGGTGGAGATTGAGAGGGAGGCGAGGGACGACGAGGAGGAGGAGTTGGAGGAGGAGGAGACAAGGGAGGAGGCGGAGCGGGATCGAGGATCATTCCTGGCCCTGTCACCGCCGCTGTCTAGCGCCGCTGACAGGCGCCTGTGATGTACTTGCCGGCCGGGCGAGCCAAGCTGTTCGCGTATTTGCGGCCCACGGGCGACGACCTGCGGGTCCTCGGGGACTCAGCGCTGACAGTCGACGAGAAGGGCTCGGGCCTGCAGGTGTCGTCGTTGATCTCGTCGTCGCCGTCGTCGTCGATCATTCTCGAGGAAGAAAGCACTGCGTACACATACATGTTCGGAGGTCTGCGCGGATTTTCTTGGATCGGGGCTGGCCCCCCTCCGCAGCGCATCCGGCGCCAGCGTTGCGGGGTCCAGCGCAGATCCCAGAGATCCGCGTGACCTTCCGCCAGATTATGTACATTTAGTGTTTTATGTCTCGAATCCCGTCTTCGTCGTCGATTTCAGAGTCGTGGCCGTCGTCGTCGTCGTCGGTTCGTCGTCGTTGTCGTCGAGGGTCGATCTAGTTTTGATGCTCGCAGGGCTCGGCCACCGGGGCCAGTTGCGGCCCCTGGGAGGTCCCCCTGGAGGAGGAGGTGCCTGGGGCGTGGACCCCGAAAGGGGTTGGGGGAGATCGGGCGGGCGATCGTGAGATCGATAGTGAGCTGCTCGTTGATTGTTCTCTTCCGCGGGCCATCCCCTCGAAGAGGAAGAGGAGCCCGTGAGTGTTCGAAGTCGTTCGGTTTCCGACGACTCGGACTGATTGCGCTCGCGGCGGGAAGGTGGTGTCTCGCACTGTTTCTCCTGAAACCTGCTCCTGAGGCATAATTTGCCGTTGATGGCAACAAAACAGATCGATAGTGAGATCGACCGTGGGATCGATTGAGTGAGGCGTTCGTTCTTCCTCTCCCCGGTCCTCCTTCTCACCCGAAGGTTGGTCGTCTGGGTACGAAATAGAACGAACAAAAAACGCCAAAAACATATACTTGTGGCGCTCCGCGCGGAGCGCCAACAGTTTATGTTTACAGCGTTTCTCCGTCTATTTCGTTTATTTCAGGCCTACACGATCACCCTTCGGGTGAGAAGTAGGTTTGGGGGGTGGAAGAACCAACGCCTTACTCAATCGATCTCGCTTTCGACATCACTATCGATCCAACTATCGCCGCGATCGCCCGCCCGCGTGGCCGCGCCTCGCCCGCGCGCGCGGCACGAACCCAAAGCTGAAGCCGACTTCCCGGTTTGGGGATTGTCCGTTCCTTTTCGATCTCACCCTTCGGCAATGACGACGAAGGCGACGACGATGATGATGATGATGATGATGATGATGATGATGATGATGATGATGATGATGATGATGATGATGATGATGATGATGATGTGGGAGATGATGATGATCGTGATGCTGGCGGTGGTGGGGGTGATGATGGTGAGCGTTGATGACGGTGGTGGTTTGCTAAGGATGGATCAGGATGAGGTCTGCGATGACTTAGATTCGTCTCGCCCCTCAACCTCCGATTCTAGGCGCTTCCGGGGAGCAGAATGGCCAGAGGCATCTTGGATGCCTCTCGGCGCCTGTTCGGATGTTTCTCGAATGCGTCTTGGAGTCCTCCCAGAGCATCTTAGGTCCCAGCGGTTCTCCGGCCTCGGGGTGCTTTCAGGAGGAGGAGGAGGAGGAGGAGGAGGAGGAGGAGGAGGAGGTGGAGGAGGCTGCGGGGGCCTCTTGGCGGTCCTGGGGGCCTCTTGAGGGCGTCTTGGAGGTATTGGAGGAGCCTCCTGGGCCTCTTGGGCGCCTCTTGGGTGATTCTTGGGAGCCTTGGGGCCGTGTCAGGGCCATCTTGAAGGAGATCGGTAAAAGACAAGCAGTGGCGAAGCGACCCGGCTCGCCTATAGCCCCACCAAACAGTGTTCTAAGAACGTTTTGTGGTTCCCACGAAATGTTCTTAGAACATTTCTGGTTGGGACTGTCTTGTTTTAACACCTCGGGTTTATGTTCTAAGAACATTGTTTTGTTCTTAGAACATTTTGGGGTTCTAAGAACATTTCGTGGTATGACCAAAAGAAAGCCGGGACGGTCGGTCCCTGCTCAAACAAGACGGGAGGTATTAAATCAGCCCCCCCCCCAGAAGGCCAGAATTGCCCAATGCATACGAAGACCGAAGTGAACAAATCAATGAATTATACCTTCTCGCCGAGGCCATCCTGGACGCTCCAATGAGTCGCGAACCCTCTCCGTCCAAGTCCAGGGAAAAGGATAGGGGAGAGGTGTCAATACACCCTCCCCGCCCGCAAGCCGTCTCGCTCACTCCCAGGCGTCCTCACAACACATAAGTCTCACCCGAGCGGCAGCGTGTTCAGCGCTAGTCTTTTGGATGGGCAGCTAATGGGAACCAACACAGGCCCCGTGTGCGCAACGCTGGGGCGATGTGCGCCAGGCGTGCCAGGCGCGCCGCGCGCGCCAGGTGCGCCATGCATCCCTGTGGCCCAAGCGTGCCGTGCACGCCTGTTGCGCCAGATGCGCCACGTGATCCACGTGCGCCATGTATGCCGCATGCTCCAGCCGCGCCATGTGCGCCACGTTCGGGGCACGCGCAGAGTGTGCCAGGTGTGGCTGCGCACGTGGCAGTACACATCGGGAAACGTGTCGGCCCCGACCACCCTTGTTGAAAACCCAGCGCGCAATCGCGGCGGGGTGGACATCACAGCGTCTGGTGGGCCTGCACATAGCAAGCAATAGGCCAGCACTTCCGCCGTTCCATTCACAAGCTTAAGCATGGTGATCGCGGGGTGCCCGCGCGTGTTCCAGATTTCTGTTGAAGGGATGCTGGCCCTGCGCGCAGCAGGCAAGATGCGGGCAGCCCCGCCGTCCCTGTTGACGACCATGCATGTGCTCGCGCCCCCTTGATCATGACCCGAGATTATTCCCCAAAGTGGATGTCACATGTTTTGACAAGGATGGTGTGGTGGGGTGCCCGCATTGGTGCTGGCTGGCTGCTGGTCGCATGGGGGAGGGGGTGCTTACTAATGGGAATCGGTGATTAACTTCCCTCTGAAAGGGGAAGGAGGAACATGGAAACGGGAACTTGCTAAACCACTCATGCCCCAAAGGGCTGGTGGGACTGGGAAGGCCTCACGGCCGTTGCCGCCGACCCTAAAAAGGAACGACGACCCTCACGGATGCGTCGGCGGCGACGACGACACTGACCTGGGGGTCCTCAGGGATGATTCGCGGGACCGCTTCGGAGCGCGCTCGAAAGCCTCTGGGAGGCAGTTTGGGAGCCTCTTGGGAGCATCTTGGGGGCCTCCTGGGAGCCTCTTAGGGGTCCCTTCGGGCTTCCTGGGAACCTTGTGAGGGCCTATTGCGGCCTCGTGGGGGCCTCTTGAGACCTCTTGGAGCCTTTCGGGAGGTTTTCGGTGCCCAGGGCTCGAAATGTTCGTTCGGGCTCCCGTGTGGGCACCCTCTTGGAGCCATTTTGGGAGCCTATTTGGCCGTCTGGGAGGCCCATAGGGCCGTTTGGGGGCCCTCTTGGGTCGTTGTTTTGGGACCGTCTTGGAAATATCTTGATAGCCTCTGGTGCCGATCTTGGTGGCATATTGGGCCGTCTTGGGCCGTCCTGGGGCGTCTGGAAGCCGAAGACACCAGAATCGCTCAAAAGCCTGAAGAAAATCATTGAGTTGTCAGTCTTGGTGTGCTCTTGGAGACCCTTTCGAGCATCTTGACAGCCGCTCGGGCCGTCGGGGGGCCATCCCTGGCGTTTTGGACAGATTTTCCGGCGATTTGGGGCCCTCTTGGATTCAGGGCGCCCGAGACGGGGGCACAGCAAACGCGGGCACAGGGAACGCCGCTTTCCATGTTTGGCTACGCCCCCGTTTAGGGGGCCGTTTGGACGGGGGCACAGTAAACGGGGGCATATGGAAAAACCTAAGCACCCGTTTAGCTAAACCCCGTTTACGAAGCCCCGATCGACCGTCTTGGGGGTTTGTTGAGGCCTCTCTGGGCCCGAGGACTTCGGGGACCCCCCCCCAGGTCCCCCTCCAGGACCACCCCCCAGGACCCGCCCGGGACCCCCCGCCTGTGACCCTCCCCGCATCGAGGGGGCAGGGAGGGCTTCCCTTTCGACTCGATCGCGACGCTGCTCAGTTTCGTTGTGGTTTCGCTCTGCCCGGTTGGCTTCAGGAGGAAGGCCCAGAGAAACAGGGGGGGAGCGGCGACGGACACAGGGAAAGGGGGTCAAACGCGACGGCGACAGCGACGACGACGGCAAGGACAACGACGACGACGACGACGACGACGACGACGACGACGACGACATCGAGTAAAACAGAACAGCGTCTTCCACACGCCGGCAGGGCCGGCGGATGACGGGAGGCGCCTCCGCAAGGCTTTGGCTCGAGCGATTATGGCGTCGTTTCTCGTGGTTGCGGGGTCGCAAGCCCCCGCGTAGCATGATTGCGGGAGTTGTCATGTTTCGCTTCTCTTCTGGGCGCCATCGCTAGCCGAAGTTCACTACGCTGGAGGGCCGAGCGTTCGGTGGCGGCACGACCTCCGTGGAGTTCCGTGTCGCAGGATGGGTGCGACGGGAGCGAGCCAGTGCACAGCATACGGAGCTATCACCGCGCCCACCGCGCTATGCTCGCCAGAGGCCGGCTTGGCCTGAGGTCGACCTTCATGAAAGCCAGGACGTTGCGGCACGTTCAAGCTATGTGGTTCCTTCAGACGGCGACACAACTTACTCGCCTGAAGCTCGGATCTGGAATCGCCCCGACTACATCATCACGTTTTCCCCACGGCGAGTGTCCACGCGGATCGTTTCACGGGGCGGTGTCACCGTTAAATACGACGGTGGCAGCTGGGACAACTGGCGGGCAGACGCATGCAACGCAAGCCACACATCGACTTCCACGCCCTCTGTGGGCACGCCCCCGGCGACAAGCCCCAAGCGCGACCTATCACGGCGGCTGCCCACGCAGTATGCCGACGCGACAAGGATGAGTTCTTCGACGATGTGAATCGAGCCTTGGGTTGTATTCCCTCTCGATGTGCACCGTCACTACATGAAGTTGGACATGCCAGCTCGCGGAGCAAGTGCCGACCACAGTGGACCAACAAGGGGCGGCGCTTGCATGGCATCCCCCCCCCCCAGCATTGCATGAGGGCTCTCAACACCTTTGGGCCAGCGGCTCGACGCAGCACTGCATGGCAGCACCCCGATGGCCAGGGTAAGACAAGGACCGGCCACGCCACTACCCCGCGCAGCACGGGCTCCCAGGATTCCGCGAGGGTCATCCGTGAGACCCCGCTGCCCCTAGGCCCCTCACGGGACCACGTGATCGTCGGGGCGTCTGCGCATGTGGGCGGACACTTCAGCGAGCGGCCCCCCAGTGCACCGACGCCGACGCGGCGCCGACAACGCGCGCCGAGCTCTCTGCAGGCCTGGCAGCGCTGGTCCACGGCAGAGGCGGGGGCCCCAGGCAGCGACGGCCCAGTGGCCACCGCCATCAGCGTCGCCCTGCGCTTCCAGGACCGCGCGCACCACGCCATCGCCCCCATGGATCACCTACAGTTGGTGCTCGGCGCCCGCGGCGCCGCCGCGGGGGGGAACGCGGCCGAGAGCATTTTTCCGCGGGCCCCTGAGTTTGAGAGCAAGGCCAAGATAATGTTGAGAATGGACCGCGCGGTGGAGCCCCACGACTCCGAGGGCAAGGCCGCCGCGGAGGCGGGCGAGGTGCACGAGGGGCACCCGCAGGGCAAACGCCCCGACGCCCCGTTCCGATCGGTTCTGTTCACCTACAGGTGGGACTTCGAGAGCACGGAGCCGCCCTGGAGGAGGACGTGGCCGGGGGCGACCAGCGGCAGGTCCTGATTGCCTGGAAGGCGGCGCCCGCTGCCGGCGAGAAGGCCCCTCAGAGGGATTCGCTCCAGGCATCGCGCTGCTGGATCGGAGCGACTGACCGTCGCCGCGTGCCGATCGCATCCGCCCCGCAGCCCCGCGGGGCGTTGAAGTGGCAGGGGCTTGCGGGACTTATGATCGACGACGACCACGCCCCTCGCGCCGCGCCGTGAGCTCCAGAAAGCGCAGTAGTAGATTGGGATGTTGGGTTTACGTCAGGTGCGTCCACCAGGTTGCATGCACCAGTGCTCACTCCTTCAGCAATGTCTGCTGCAGGCGCATGGTTTCATATTTTGGTTTTCCCACGCTTGTGCATCCTCGTCCGCCCCTCTTCCTTCCTGGCCCTCTGCGTTGGTGACTTTGAGTTTTGCTCGGCCTGCAGCTCTGCCCGCGCATGGCCTGGAGCGTTGCCGACTTCGCAGCGCTGGCAAGGGCGGCCCCTGCCATGCTGCACCACGCTTCCCCTGCGCATGATGTGTTGCGCCGTTTGAAAATCATTACTCGCCGCCAGCCGGTGGCCAGAGGGTCGCGCGCTCATGCGCGGGCTTCCCACCAGTGGGTGGTCAGCTTCGTATGTTGCGTCCGTGGACGCGCGCGCGGGCCGACCTCGCGGTTGGCTCTGCGAATGCTCGCGAGACCTCAGCGTCGGGGTTGCGCTTGAAAAAAAAAAAAGAAGAAAAAAAACAACCGCTTCCACAAGGCCCTGGCTCGAGCGAGTATGGCGTCGTTTCTCGCGTCTGCGGGGTCGCGCGCCCCCGCGCGGCATGATCGTCGATCGACGGCGGGACTTGTCATGTTTCGTTGCTCTTCTGCGCGCCATCGCTAGCCGAAGTTCATTGCGCTGGGGGGCCGAGCGTTCGGTGGCGGCACGACCGCCGCGGAGCTCCGTTTCGTCGGATGTCACTCATGACGGGAGCGAGCCAGTGCACAGCGTGAGGGGCCATCACCGCGCCAGCCGGCCCCTGGCCGCTAGGGGGTGGCCATGTGTCAGGGCCCTTCTTTCGGATGACCTAGACGCCGCGGTAAACCTGAGATCAGTGGGCCCATCTCACGGCGCGACACACACGAACGGATTGGCTCTAGCGCACGGGTCGGTGTACAATGTTCTTTGCCACGTGTTTGGATCGAGTCCTTTGCAGATGGATTCTACACATGTTCCCGCTGTGATTGCACCTGCTAAACAGCGCCTGCTGGCGCACGCTAAGTAAGCGCCCCCTCGACGACGTGGATTTCCAGACCATTTCACGAGCGAGGTCGACGCTGTATCGGAAGCCGCGCATCGCGTTCACAAGGTGGCAGATATGGGGCACTTACTCGTCTAGGTGGCGCGGCTTCAATTCGGTCAACCTGCGCTGGTTCGAGGCGGGCCGCGGCTCGCAGTTCAGTGATCTCAGGGCGCGCGCGAGCGGGCAGTTGTCTCCGAGGGCTGCGGCGACCCGCAACGTCCCGCGCTCCAGCCGCGCCAAGTGATGCACCGACCGTCATGTTCACTTTTGTTTTCCTCCAACGCCTGTTCTCGTCTGCTCTGTCTCAATTCCTAGGCCCGCTGCTCGGTGACTTTGAGTTTGGCTCGGCCTGCAGCCGCAGACAGACGGTCGACCTGCATGTCTGCCGCTTTTCCGCATCCCACGTCGAGTGTTGCCGATTTTGCGTCTGCTGGCAAGGGCGGCTTCTGTGGCGCTGTACTGTGCTTATCCTGCACGCTGCGCGTTGCGCCGTTTGAATCCACGGCCTGCCGCCAGCGCTCGGCCGGAGGGCCGTGTTCTGTCGCGCGGGCCTTCCACCAGTGGGTGGTAGCCTCGTATGTGACGTCTGCAGTTGAGCTGGACTTCCTCGCGCGCGTTGCCGGGCTTTGCTGAGTCCAGCTGACAGCAGGAGCGCGGCGCGCAAAAACGTGTTTTTGTTGGTTGTTGCGCGTCGGTGCTACAATATTTGAGCTTTGGCGTCGAGCGGGGCGCTGCCGTCGTGGAGTGGGTTGGCTGTCTAATGGGCATCTGTATTGCGGTTATTCGGGGAAGGCGGAAGACGACGCTACAGTCGCGCCACACGTGGCGGAATTCCGCAGCTGTCTTATCTGCGGCGATAGATCGCGGGCCCCCCGCGCTGGTAATCCCAGGTTGGTGCGCGTGCTTCAGCGGGGGTATCTGTTTGGAGCTAGCAGGCACACGATCGAAAGCATACGGCAAGGCAAGGGGGAGAAACGATTTGCGGCACGTGTTTAAATGATTCACCGTTCTGTCTCTGTTACAGCTGTTTACAGTCGCCGCGCTGCGAAATGCCAGCGCGTACGTTTTTTTGTTTGTTTTAGCTTGCTCGCCGCCAGCGTGTCGGCCAGAGGGCTGACAGCCTGTCGCGCGATGCTTACCGCCAGTGGGCAGAGGCCTCGCGCGTTGCATCTGGTCCGCGCATGCGCGCGAACCGCCCTTGAGCAGGCTCCGTTGACCGCCCGCCAGACTATTACGATATGGTGTAGCGGTGTGGAAAGAATTTTGCTTCTGGCGTGCGCCGTAGTTTCCGGGGATCAGTTCAGTACTCTCGAATTGAAGGATGCGGGTCGCGTTGGGGACCTCGCTGGCGGATCCCTGGAAGCTGGCTTTGTCGCTCGAGACATTCTAGAACAATTGGTTTCGGAGAGGGTCCCGAAACAACATTAGTTCGCAACGACCCACGGGAGCTCCCGAAGGCCCCCCAGGGAGACCCGAAAGCGCCCCGAGGGGCCCCCGGGAGGCGCCCACAGGCTCTGAAGAGCATTCGAAGAGGCCCCTGGACTGCCCAAGAGGATTTCAAGACGGCCCAGGACAACCCAAAATGGCGCAAAGATGACTTGAGAAAACCGCCGCGCGACCTTATGACATGCCCAGACAACCCAACAACAAATCCCGTGGAACCCGCAAGAGGGCCCTGACAGGCCCCCAAAGTGCCTTCCGGACGCCCTAAGATACTGCCCGACGGCCCCGACAACCCCCGGGGAAGCTTCAAAGTTCACGAGGACCCCTCTCTTCTTCGACGTTCTGTTCGTCGAGTTCCCTCTCGGGGGACCGCCCCCTCCCCGCCCCCCGTCGCCGTTTGGGCGGGCGCGCCTCCGGAGGTGCTCTTCCTCGAGCGCAAAATCGTCGGGAAGCTGACCCGATTCTTGCCCGCGGCCCTGGCGAGCGCCTTCTAGCGCCGCCACCCCGCCGTCGGTGGGGGGCGGTGGCGCTGGCAGCGGCCACGGCAGCGGCGGACGGCGTTGGCAACGGCCACGGCAGCAGGTTGCGCCGGCGCTGTCAGGGGCCACAGGAGCGAGCTGCGCCGCCGCCGGCGCCGCTGGCTGGCGCCGTCGGCGACCAGCGTTGACACCGGCAGCCGCCACCGCAGCGGCGGACAGCGCGCCGGCGCCGAACGGCATTGCAGGGCGGCGGTGCGGCCGCGTCGCGGCCGGCTGAGGCGGCCAAGAGAAAGCGTTGTCGTCTCGTTCGGCCTGCTGCCGCTCGGCCTGCCAGCAGGCGCCCGACGTAGAGTGTTCGTATCGCGGCGGTCCTTGTTGTTTTTTTCCGAATGGTTCGGATCAGTTGCCTGAGGATCGTCGCTCGTGATATCAGGCTCTTCGAATTCCTCGTTGTCCTCCCTGTCCTTCCACTGTTCCCTCGCTCCTTCTCTCAGGAGGGGAAGAAACACACAAACACAGGTCGTTGTCGGTGCCCAAGAAAAGGTGAGAAGATATGGAAGTGGGGGGAAAACGGAAATCATGAAACTATGCAAGCATGTCGGGGATCCAGGGATGTGTGTCGTGTCCCTGGGCCTTTTCTTTCTCGTACGCTGCTTCACCCCGCCCCTTCCTCCCCTCATGTACCCACCCTCTCTTCTCTTATCTTCTGTCGGCAGGGGAGGGGTGGCTAAGGAGGGAGGAGGGAGGATGACGAAGAGCAGTAGCAGGAGCAGGAGGAGCAGGAGGAGGAGGAGGAGGAGGAGGAGGAGGAGGGAGCAAGAGGAGGAGTGAGGAGGGGGAGCAGCAGCAGGAGGAGTGAGGAGGGGGAGCAGCAGCAGGAAGAGCAGGAGTGAGGGAGGGGCGGAGGAGGAAGAGCAGGAAGAGGAGGAGGAGAAGGAGGAGGAGGAGGAGTTGGAGGAGGAAGGAGGAGGAGAACGAGGAGGAGGAGGTAGGAGGGAGGAAGAGGAGCAACTGGAAAAGCAAAAGCAGGAGGAGCAAGAGGAGGAGGAGGAGGAGGAGGAGGAGCAAGAGGAAAGAGGAGGTGTCCTACCCCCTTCTCTCCGCTGCCGCCCGCACCACCCCCAGCCGCCTGGGGCAGAGAGAGAGAGAGGGAGAGAGCGAGAGAGGCAGAGAGTTGCGGAGGACTCTTTTCGCGAGAGCGCGTGACGAGTTGCCCCCCCCCGCCTGGTTCCCGAGGACATCCACGATTCGGTAATTAGGTTCGGTTGCGCCGCAGTCCGCAGTCTATTGCGTTTGGTCGGTTCGGTTCGTCGTTGCTGCGCTCTGGTAGGCGTCCTTCGGCCTGTCGGTTTCGGTCGGCCTCGGTGTCGTCATCGGTGCTGTTGGTTTTCGGTGTTGCCGCCGCGGACGGCCTTTATTCCGCCCCCTGGTTTCGTAAGTCCACCCAGCAGTTCGAACATATTTGTGATACAAGTTTTATTTCATACTTTGGGACCATTAGAGATTAGGTTCAGGCCCCCGGGCCCGTCGAAGCATTATTCAGAATGGCAGGTTGGTCCCTGGGAGCGGGAGGTCCCGTGGGCTATGTCTCGAAACGGTCGAGCCAGTTGATGTTTGGGGAGGCATCAGGGCGGCGAAGCTTATCGCGCTGGTTCTGCTGAGGCCGAAGGGGCCTCTTCGGAGTCGGGAAAGAGCGGCGGGTTTCGAAGGGGCGGAGTGGAAGCAAGGACGCGAATGGTCGAGGAGGAAGCGAAGCTGGAAGGGGGAGCATGTCCCAGACGAAGGAAAAGGGCATGCACATACTCTATTAGAGCTGTGCGCAGACTGTTTGGGTCGGCGCTCGACCCCCCTCCCTTGCGCGCGGAGCGCGCCAGTGGCGGCGCTGGAGACGCCGCCACTAGTGCCTCAGCGCCGATCCAAGAGATCCACGCCGGGCTCCAACGGTGTATGTTTATTCCGTCTGTCCTTTTTTTCTGCAGGAACGAGATGGGCACGGAAAGAATGGGTACGATGCCCAACAGCAGTTCCTCTTCATTTTGAACAGGGCTCGCTGTCCGCGCCGCCGCGGCCTTTGTCCATTTGAGACAGAAGGCCGCCTGCCCAACAGCGGCCGCTGCTGGTTCGGGAGAACAATAGCTGTTGGGCATTGTGCCCATTGTTTCCGTGCCCATTTCGGGCGTCCAAACTTTTCGATGTGGAGGGCAGTGCGGACAGCAGCTTGGCGAGCAGGGAGAGCTCGAGCGCGAGGTGCAGTCGGAAGGCCGCCCTCGGGCACACCCGCTCTCCGGCGGCCTCCGGGCGTGCCGCGGGCCGCCCTCGGGGGGTCGCTCGCGCGCGCGCTCGCCCACGAGTAGGGGGCCAGATGCGAACCCTGCCCCTGCCCCCCACGAGTTCTGAGGGGGAGGGTGGGGTTCACTACGTTCGGGAGCTCCCGAGCAAAGTGAACCCCACCCTCCCCCTCAGAACTCGTGGGGGGTGGGGGCAGGGTTCGCATCCGGTCCCCTCACGAAAGGAGCGGGCCAACAGGCGGGGGGGGCGGGGGCCTCCCAGAGCTAAAGTGGTGCGGGGCCGGGGCCCTTTTTTTGCTCGAGGATCGGCAAGCAGCACGCGCAGAAGATCCGTCAGAGGTCCGTGCGGCTTTCCTGGATCGGCGCTGGTCCATCCCATTCGGATGCCTTGGATTCGCGCTGGACTCCGCGGATCTCTGGGCTGCTTGGACCCTCCTGTGCCGCGCGGAGCGCCCCAGGGGAGGCGCCACCGGCGGGGGTCCAGCGCCGAGCCAAGAAATCCGCGCAGGCATCCGACCTTTTTGTGTGCACGCTGGTTTGTTACTCCTCTGCTTGCGCGGGGAGCAGGAGAGGAAAACCGCTCAGACAGCATCCTGACTGCCCGCGCGCAGGCGGGCTTGCCCCCTCCCTCCGGCTGCGCCATCCCAGTGTGCCCGCGAGCAGCTGGCTGCCCATCCTGGGCACTGAGCCTCGCCGAGCGGTGTGCTCCGGGCCTCCCAGGTGGGGTTTGGAGTAGACTGGGCCAGAGGACTGCGCCGCATCGCCGATGCATCGGCGATGCGGCTCGATATTGAGCCCGCTCTTCTCCACCCCGACGTCGCGCATGCATCGGCGATGCATCGGCGCTGGGGTGCAGTCCTTCGACCCCAACTATCCCTTGGCATCGCCCGGACGAGTGAGCTTGTCTCGGCGAAGGCCATCGAGGAGCATGTTTTGATCATGTTGCGGAAAATGGACCAGTCGCGACCCCAATTCGGAGAAACGTTCATTTCTGCATGAGCTGACGCATTGCTTAGCATTGCGGGCATTGCTTAGCATTGTGTGGCATTGCATGGCATTGCTTCGCATTGCTTCGCATTACTTCGCATTGATTCGCATTACTTCGCATTACTTCGCATTACTGCGCATTGCTTGGCATTGCTTGGCAGCATGCGTTCATTCCCAGAGCGTCTCTTGAAGTCACGTTTCAAGGCCGCGTGGTGGCAAGTTCTGTTCCGTGTAGGAGATGGGGGCGCTCCTCTTCGTATCGGGATTCTCGCCGATTGGAAACAGTACGGGCGCGCAGCTCGGAGAGAAGGCGGCAGGAGTTGGGCGTCGTCCAGCAGAGTTGTGGACACCGAGCTGCTTCTCGGGAGGACCCCACTCGTGACGGCGTGGGGAGCCGACAGGGGGCCACTCGCGAACCCTACCCCTACCCCCCACGATTTCTGAGGGGGAGGGGGAGTGAACCCCACCCCCCCTCAGAAATCGTGGGGGGGGGGGTAGGGTTCGCATGTGGTCCCCTAGCCGACCGGAGGCTGCACCCGCCCGCAGGCCGATCCGGAGCAGAACGGGCGAACGTTTACTTGGCATCGCTCGGACGTGTGCATTTTTCCTTCGGCGAGGACCATCGAGGAGCATCCTCGATCATTTGGCGAAGAACCAACACGCACGAAACCGAACAAAAAACACAGGGAGCGATGGCGAGTTTACTCTCCGACTGCTCCTGGCAGCGTCTGCGGGGCGTGGGGCCGGCCGTCGCCCTCGAGCGAGCCGCGTGGGGAGCGACGGCCGTGCGGGCACGCGAAGCGACGGTGCGTTGTCGACGAGAGCCTCTGGCGGGGGAGGAGGAGGAGGAGGAGGAGGAGGAGGGGGAGGAGGAGTAGGAGTAGGAGGAGGAGGAGGAGGAGGAGGAGGAGGAGGAGGAGGAGGAGGAGGGAGCTGCACTGGAATGCCGGGGCACGCCGGCTGGGGACACAGGCCGGCGTCCGATTATAGGGGTCGTCGTGGTTGCGGTGGGGGGGGGCGGGCGGAGCTCGGGGCTCCGGGCGTGCGGCCGCTGTCCGTGCGGCTTCCGAGGCGGCGAGCGGCAGCTCCTGCGCGCGGGCATCCCGTCGGTGGGAAAAAACACACCGTGGGAAAAACACACAATGTGGGAAGAAAACACACCGTGGGACAAAAACACACTGTGGGAAAAAACACACGTGTTTTTTTGTTCCCACGTGTGTGGGAAGAAGCACACTGTGTTTTTTTTCCCCCACAGACGTGTGTGCTTTTGTCCCACGTGTGTTTTTCCCGCAGTGTGTGTTTTTTTCCCACAGGTCCAGTCTCACCGAGCGCGTTCCACTGCTCGCAAAGTGCCTACTCGCAAACGTCCGAAAAGCAGGTGTCGGCTTCAGTGTAATTTCTCGCGTTGATCCCCCGCCGCGTATCGGGGCCACTTGCGAGCAGTTGCTTTCCGAGTAGCGGAACGCGCTCGTCTACAATCCTGAAGTTTGCGAAGGTGGCGAAAGATGGTGGGCCCGTTTTCCACCACCGCCACCACAAGTTGGAGGGAGAGGGGGTCCTCCTCCTCGTCGTCCTCCTCGTCCTCCTCCTCCTCCTTCCCCCCTCCAACTTATGGTGGTGGTGGTGGTGGAAAACAGGCCCATCAAAAGAAAGTTCAAAACCAATGCAGCATGGATGCGGGTGTCGATCGGGAGCGACGCAACGAGGAAGCCGTGGCCTCGGCGATTCGTAACAAACCCA